TTTCCCAGCATAAGTTGCAAGAGTAACTGAGTTTGAACTATTTTAAGTTTGCTTTATGAAACAGAATCAACCGACAATAAGTCTGACTTACCAAAATAAGCCTGACTTGTATTTTAATCTTGTTCTATGGAACAACCCTCAGGTTGCAACAAAGCCCTTTAAGGGATAGTTCACCCAAAAATGAAAATTCTGTCAGTAATTACTCACCCTCATGTTGTTCCAACCCCGCAAGACTTTCGTTCATCTTCGGAACACAAATTAAGATATTTTTGATTAAATCTGAGAGCTGGATCACTCCTCCATAGGCTTCTTAAGGGATCGAAACTGACCGGTCCAAAAGTTATGAAAGACATCGTTAAAATAGTCCGAGTGACTATAGTGGCTCAACCTTAAGTTTATCAAGCGACGAGAATACTTTTTGTGCGCAAAAAAAACAAACAAAAATTACGACTTTATTCAACTAATCATTTCCTTCTCGTGATATTTCACGTAGTGAAACTATGCAAAGCTTCTAGGTTGTACGTCACGCATCACACACATGACCAGCTGCGTCTGATATTGTGATATTTGTCCAAACATAATTGAAACATCATCCAAACATAGGCTAATTGAATGATGTTAAGAGACATGACTGCCCTCTTGGATTAAGATAGGCCTACTGCATGCAACTTTTCGTTTTTGGAGTAAATGTTTATGTTTTATTGGGTTATAGCGCCTCCAAGTGGCCAAGCCCGGCTAAGTTTTTCTGTGTCCTCTGATTGATTGATTGTTTGAAGAGTTTCACAGATAAAGTAAACTAAAGAACAAAAAAAATCTTTATTAAATAGCAGGAAAAAGTCAAACATAACTTCATTTAGCAACCTTGACCTGATGGTCCTGGCAAGGTTTACAAAAGCAAGTGCATGGTCGCTTAGTTTATTTATACAAAGATCTTTTATTGATTTTTGTGATAAGGATGTGACCATTTCTTGTCTTAAAAAAAAAAAACATTAACTATTTAATTAACATCATCAAAACTAAACCTTATGTTATTATTTAATATCAATAAAGCTAATTTAGGTCCTATAATGCATTATTTAGTTATGGTAAAGTAACTTTTGGTCCTCTAGTCTAGCTGACCAGCGGTTTAAAACAAAACTGCATGCATTTTGTGGAAGAACATTCTTTTGGTTGTGCTTCGGCTCTACATGACTATGACTGCAGATGAATATGGTTATCCTACTGTTTATAAATTAAGCCAGGAGTAGGCTAGAATAGTTAATAGTTAATTTTTGCAAAAGATGGTTGAGATTCACAAATTAGAAAGTCAATAAAACAGCACAAAATAATGTCCAACATAGCACCTACATCACAACAAGTTGTTTGGGAGTGTATCAAGAAAAAAATCCTCTGCCATGGCCATGGCCATCCCAGTTCCCTGACCTAAACCCTATTGAAAAATTAAGCGGAAAGCGTATCAACCTGGACTTGGGAATAATATTTAATGTTAATTTCTAGGAGCAACTCATAGATTTACTTAGCAGCATGCACTGACTCTAATAATAGGCTTACTATACACTCTAAAACACCATTGAAAGTGTGATTTGTTGGAATGAACACAGAGTCTGAACGTGTTAAACATTGACAACAGCTTTAGTATTGATTTGAAGTTTCTGTGTTGTGCAAGTTACGTTTCAGGACTGAAACATCTCAACAAAATAATTCAGAAAGGACACAGATCTGCTACCTGAGACTTCACTTTCCATTGGAGGTTTCATCATTTATAGCAGTAAGTAAAAAATAACAGACAGGTGCTCTTTGTTAAGTCAATTACTTTTTTCTTAAGTACTACAATGCAACTGGATGGCATGTATTATAGGCAACTGATGCCTTTTTATTAGGTTACAAGAATATAGTGTGCAATTCTATTTTTGTTTGAATATTTTATTGATTACCATAGGCCTAAAAATGACAAATTAAATAGAAAATCACTTATGAAGTCAAAGATCTCTTATGAAAAGTGATTTAGGCTATTACCTGTTATTGTTGCAGACCAACAAGCTTTACCTTACACCCTATTCATAATACAGTGAAGTTGGAAATAGCATTCGAGTAATTCAGAATGTCCCAAATACATTTTAATTATAATATTTGTAGGCCCTATCACTGTCAAGTGATTTTTCAGTAAATATATTAATGGATTTGTAGTATATACTTAGTATGAAATAAACGTATTTTGAATACATTTTGGTATACTTTTTTTTTTTTTTACTATAGGGACCTCTCTATGGAGGACCAAATCTATAAAAATTAAAAAATAAATAAATAAATGAATATGCGAAGAAATGTAAAAAAACAAAACAAAGATAAATGACTATTTATACTTTTATTTCCCTATTTCTATAATTATATATTTCCCCACATTTATTTATTTTTTCATTTATTGGTCTGTATGCTAATGAGGGGGGCGTGTTTTACCTCAGACATAGCAATCGAGCTCAGAGTGGCTGAAGCTTTGAGGCCACAGTGACACCTTGTGGTGTGACCAAACACTACACAAGAGGTTTGTGGACGTGACTTAAATTACAGGTGTCACAGGAAATGACTTAGAGATGGGCAATATGGCCAAAATCTTATATCACGGTTTATGTCCATTAACTTTACTTAGCTATTTAGGCCTACCATACATAGGTCTACTCTTTATTCCTGACATGGCCGTAAAACATCAGCTGGTCGGGATTTCTAAAATGTCTGGGCACACATTGAAACAAATAACATTTAGTTTCTGTTCAGGTCACTGATTTTACTCCACCAGTGTGCCATGTGGTAAATGCCACTTCAGACTGTCTTTTATCATGTGGAAATACAATTATGGAAGTGACCTATATCATGACAGATGGAGCTGGTTCAGGAATCGATCACACCTTTGTTTCTTCCTTTGGTGGGGCTTTTTAGCTAATTAACTCAATATGATAGACTAGATGAAAATGGCTACAATGGAACCCTTTTGCATTATTCTGGGATCTGCTGCCTTGAAGATGTGGAGGTTTCTGTGCTGGACAAAGCAGGAAACACAGGAAAGTGTCCTGTTATTATAAAACGTGTCAAGCCATGACTTTCTTTTTCTCATCGCTCCTCCACCACAACAATTTCTCTTTGGTCAATACTGATGGTACTTATGCTGTTCTAAGGTGTACATGAAAAATGTACATGTACAATTATTTTGACAATGCATTTTTAAGTACAGTTAAAGTAGTTTATGTCATTAAGTCAATGCTTTGATGAATGCTATAATACATGAAAATGTGATTTCTTGACAGTATTTTTTAATTTATTCTAATTATTTTTCTGCATTCATGTAGTTTCACTATTTGTGTTGCTGTACCATTAGGGAATAAAGACAAACTTGAGAATGTAGCAGTCTGTTTCTAAATTTTATTCTACTTAGTGAAGTTCCCAAGTAAGGAGGAGTAAACCCATCTAATCTTTCAATTAACTGCTGGAGCATAGCAGCCGCTCACCTTGCTCTGGCATCAGCTGTTTTAGCATCCCTCCACCTCCACAAATATAATTCAGGCATCTTGCTACCATACTCATCATCCAAGCATTAGTAGTCCCACTGGGGGGTATATATAAGCTCCAGTTAAAGCTGCTTCCTCGAGCCCCTCCACTGCAGACAGCAAGCCAAATATGCTTTACCTTATTAGCTTAAAGATTATATGGGCAAAAGAACTAGTGAAATAAAGTGACTATAAATAAAGGCAAAAAACAAACAAAAATAACGACTTTACTCAACTATTCATTTCCTTCTCTGTGGGTCAAATTTCACGTAGTGTAACTGCGCAATAGTGAGTCTACGTGTGACGTACAATACAGAAGCTTTGCGCAGTTACACTACGTGAAATCTCAAGGCCCACAGAGAAGGAAATGAATAGTTGAATAAAGACGTTATTTTTGTTTGTTTTTTGCGCACAAAAATAATTCTCGTCGCTTGATAAACTTAAAGATAGAGCCACTGTAGTCACTTGGACTATTTTAACGATGTCTTTAACTTTTCTGGGCCATCAAGTTTCGATCCCTTAGAAGCCTATGGAGGGGTGAGACAGCTCTCAGATTTAATCAAAAATATCTTAATTTGTGTTCCGAAGATGAACGAAAGTCTTACGGGTTGGAACAACAGGAGGGTGAGTAAATTTTACTGACAGAATTTTCATTTTGGGGTGAACTATCCCTTTAAGTCTTGATTGTCATTGTATCTTAAACTGTTTTTGTATCTTATACATCACATTCCAACAAGTAGGTTACTTGTCACTACAATAGAATTGGTACAGCTACTGCTCATTGAGTAATATATAAGTATATTAGTTTTTACTCATGTGCCACCCACAACCCACCCACCTATTCTTCAGCACAATGGTAACCACAAACTTCAACATAACAGAAACTCTTTTAAATATCACACACCTAACCCTAACAAAGATATTTCCCTTTACTCTGATACACGTAAAAATAAAAATAAAAATAAAAGTTTTAGACCACTGTCTAGTTTCAGTTACTGCAACAAAAATGCTTTAGGTAGTCCTAACACAAATAGATTAAGTAACATTACATATTTAAATGGATTGAACAGAATAACATTAAGTACTAACACAGTGTTTAGTGTTCCTTTAACTCATTTTAATCAAGTAAACTCTACAAGCAGCAATAATCATTTCAATCAAATCAATGAAGTTTATTGTTTTCCTAGGTTTCTAGTCTTGTAATTGTATGACCAGGTCTGCGTTCTAACTCTCCCTGTTGAGAAATTCACTGCATTCCAGCATTTTAATTCACATGATGTCCACTAAAGACCGCATTTTCAACAAACGAATAGTAGGAATTAAGTGGTGAGTAGATCCTCTAAATTATAATGTAAATCTTAGAAGGAGAGCTGACACAAAAAATCAAGTATACCTGAAACATGCATAAAATATGTATACATTTTACATAATGCCTTTTGTTTGATAAATGAATGCAAACAGTTTTCTTTTTTCAAATTAAGAATCAAAGTCTTTAGAAAAGTCTGATGTTGAGATATTTGTCCAAAAATGATTGAATGATTCCAATGGTAGCCATCACAGTTAGGAATAACAGGACACACAGTATCAAGTAAAACCCTCGCAACCTAGAAACAAAAGCAAGAATGGGCTGTAATATATTACGACTTGACACTACTTAAAAGAATATAAATAATATTATATAAACAAATTTATTAAAAATCTTTTGATTATCACCTTTTTTTGGATTCACTGATATAGCCAGTAAAGTACATCTCCCTGCCCACAATATACATGATTCCTCCAAGAGCAGCAAGCACTATAAAAAGGGGAAAATGAAGACCTTTTCATAAGTTATAAAATGGTTTCTTATTTTTATTTATACACCATAAATTCTGTGTAACTATATCATTGTTGTAAATAAATATACAATGTACATAATTATAGAAATAATATACTATGTATTAACATACCTTCATTGCAAAAGATGCCAGAGATCCACAATACCACCAGGAAAATGGAATAAAACTCTACACTATTCTGGCTAAAGAAATGGTGGAAAGACATATTTGTTACAACTTGCCAATCAAAGTAGATTTCATATTTGATTGTTAATGAATGAAAGTGTGTGAGTGAGAAGTGTGTGAAGTATGAGAGGCATCAATGAAGTAGTTTGGCTGTAAAGATCTTTGATCTTACTGTGCACGAAATGTCCTTTCAAACTCAGGTGGTCCAGTAACAATGGGTGGCATAATTTTATGCTTCATCCTCGACCACCCTACACGTCTTGCCTGAAATGCTAAGATATTCAATCACTATTATTCAGCCACACCATTTTACCACATTATAACAAATAAAAAAATGAATGATACATATCTGACATGTCGATGTGATTTCAAATATATAGTATTAGCTTGATAATCATACAAACATTTATAGAACCTTTCTTATTTATGAATGATTAAGTTATCTTGCAATAGCTCACTGAAATCGAACATCATTTTAATTAGCAGTAAACCTTGACCTGATCTTATTACACATTTGTCCGATTTTGGCCAGACAAATCAAAAGTTCTACAGTTTACTTTTTTTTTTTTTTACTTTTTTACAACGCATCTTTAAAAACTTTAAATGTATTAAACCATTTGAAATGTAACAGATTATGTTTACTCCAATAGAAATAAAGCTTTTACAGTCTTTTTAAGTTCCAGATAGTTATTTAATTCTGTTCTACATACATCAAATAGTAAAATGATCAATGTTTTAAAGAAACCTTTATTTTACCATCAATAATTTATTTTAATCTCCAAAGACCTATTTACCGCAGAGCACTACACAACCTTTATGAGTTTTTAAGGGTGTCTTTTTTTTTTATTAGGCCGACTAAACTAACACGATTCAATAGTCCACTTGCAGTGCAGTGCACGTTTGTGTTTTTGATGGTGCAGAAGATAAACTAACTTACTTACCCATGTGGAGAGCAGATAGCATTGACACTGCTGCGAGGAGAACTGGCAGATCCGAAGTCATATTTGTGGTTCGAAACAGCTCCTTTTTTGATAAAGTCTAGCCACAGAGATGTGAAATTAGGTCCGTGTATCCGCCTGTTGCAGATCACCTCCTGTTTTTAAGATCAGGAAGTAGGCTACTGGTCTGCAAAGGGTGTTGCATCATGAATGATTCATGTCTGCGCATCGCCTTTCCAGACAAATAGCAGTATGAGTTGGGAATAAGAAGAAAGGATTGCATATGTCGCGTGGACCTTTGATCTACTTCCATTCGATTAAAATTTACAAAGCCAACACAATAAGTAATTTAGGTGGGGTTTTTTTAGAGAGCCTGTACTACCTATTGAACACAAACAGTGTTTTTTAATGATTCGTTCGAAGAGTCATCTGAGGATTTTATTTGGGAGTTGCCTAAAACAGTATTTCACAACAAAAAGCACAACCACAATGTCAGCCTACGGTTTCGTCCGCATCAGCTGACAAATACGTTTGAGAACGGTTAACCAGTTAAAGTAAGCGAATTGTCCGAGTGAACCGATTCGCTAAAATGATTCAGACTTCCCAACGCAAGAGCACAGCGCTCTTGTGAGAAATCAGTGCTGGGCGCTCGACGACGTTGATGATGTCAGACACTGTGCGCCGGGAACTGTGAGCTCTGCGCTGCTGAAGCTTCCGCGACAGCCAGGCAAATATAGAAACAGCTTGCTTTACCTCTAATAAACCACAGAGGAAGCACAAACATGGACAGCGATGATGACAATATGGAAGAAGTGGTGGAAGGTACGACAAGCGTATTCACAAACGATGCGGTGTGCGTAACTTTGTTTTTGTCGTCTCCTCAAGCTGAACTTTTATGCAGTCTCATTCCGCCGAAGATTATCCTACCGACAGCTGTCCTCTGTATGTACACAAGCTGTCAAACACACGAGGCCCGTAAGCGTTGGACTTTTTAAAAACCCCAGATGACAACGAGTCCTATTTCGGCTTAGGGCTCTTAAGTAAAGATTCCTTCAGAAATCCCATGAACGGAGATACTACAGTAGCAGAAAGTGTAACTTAGTTAGACTAATGTTCACTTGAAATATCTTTCATTTTATTACATTCACTGACACTTTGTACAATTTATATATAATCTTTTTAAGGAGCCTGTAAATGTCGTATGTATTGGATTTATAATTGCATGCATGTAAAATTATTGTTGAAGCCAAGCCACGTGGTTAAGTAAGTGTCGTGTTCACACAATCCAGAACTGCAGAGTCGTGTACAGCAGGTCTCAGCTCTGGACTTCCATCAATTAGTGTACAATCACTTTGGATGTTTTTGCTATGTCAAGTATTTAACTGAACTTCAGTTAGATACTTGACATAGCAAAAACATCCACTGATGTTATTAACCTGGGACATTAAAATTAGTGGGGGGGGGGTTTAGGTATAGAGTGTATTAGTTACTCGTTAATCTATTATTTTGCTTCTCTCTCACTACAATGTCATGACTTTTTAGGGCCACTGGATGAGGATGACCAGCCTCATGGTTTCTGTACTGTGACCTACTCCTCCAGTGACAGATTTGAGGGACACTTTGTTCATGGGGAGAAGAATGGAAAAGGAAAATTCTTCTTTTTTGATGGCAGGTTTGAGACTTGTGGTGTATGTTGGCACCATTGTTAAGTTTATTATTGATTTTCACTGTATGATTTAAATTATGGAATATTAATCACTGTTGATTAGACTCTCAGATTTAATTATCTCAATCATTCCGACTCTCGAAATAGATTTGTAATGGGATTTTATTGATAAGAATGAATTGTAAGTTGGATTGGTCTGCTAGATCTACGCTGATGCTGCTGGTAAATTATGGAGAATTGCTGTTGCAAATCTAGACATGTGGTGCTGGGGAGGAGGAGGCTTAGAGAAAATTGCCATGACCCGCTTTACTGAACTATACCAGGTTGGGATGGAAAAAAATAACGCTGTGTGAAGGGGAACGATAGATTGAGTATCTGCGCTGCCGACTTCGGAGAACCAATCACTGCCCAGAAGAGTTTTAATGAATTGACACCATTTAATGAAGCACACCATTCAACTTTTTTTTTAAAGCTGAATGGTGTGCTAAATTTAAAGTATTCTAAACTATGTATATAGTTTAGATTAGAATCATATCACTGTGATTCAATATAATTTAAAGGGATAGGTCATCATTTACTGTCACTGTCATCATTTACTCACCCTCAAGTTGTTCCAAACCTGTATGAATTTCTTTTTTTCTGCTGAACACAAAAGAAGATATTTTGAATAATATGGGTAACCAAACAGTTGATTGGCCCCATTGACTTTCCTTAGTATTTATTTAATTTTTTCAATATTATGGAAGTCAATGGGGCCCATCAACTGTTTGGTTACCGACATTCTACAAAATATATTCTTTTGTGTTCAGCAGAAGAAAGAAATTCATACAGGTTTGTAACAACTTAAAGGGGGAATAAATTATGAGAATTTTCATTTTTGGTGAACTATCCCTTTGAGTGCACATGCATCATCACCAGCAGTCTTGAAGGGTGTGAAAGATAATTAACTTCCGGAATTTCCTTTTCCCGATTCTATTTGCTTCTGTTTGGTGTACTATTTTTTTTTTTACACTTACATACTAAAAAGCTTATTTGGATAAATTTAATTATAGCAGATAAATAAATATAATTATTTTTCACCTGCATATTACCTTTTTCTCCCCTCTATAGTATGCTGGAGGGTTTCTATGTGGACGATGCTTTGCAGGGCCAGGGCATTTATACTTACGAGGATGGAGGAGCATTACATGGGACTTATGTAGACGGCGAGCTCAATGGACCTGCTCAAGAGTTCAATCCAGATGGTCAACCGGTCTTCAGGGGCCAGTACAAGGACAACATTCGCTGTGGCATGTGCTGGGTCTACTACCCGGTTTGTTTTGCCCTACATCAAGCATGTTAAAGGACAAGTTAAATTCTGTCAAGAACATTTGTTATTATTCCATAACATATTGAATTAGGAACATGAACAGTCTATTGAAAAGCTCCAAGTGTTCTTTTCATTTCTGTCGTCTAAAGGATGGCGCCTGCGTGGTGGGGGAAGTGAATGAAGATGGAGAGATGACAGGAAAGGCAGTGGCTTATGTTTACCCTGATGGGCGTACAGCTCTGTATGGCTCATTTGTTGATGGAGAACTGATTGAGGCCCAACTTGCCACTCTTACCACTCAAGAGAATGGCAGACCACACTTCACTATTGATCCAGACAGTTAGTAGTACTTTTATCTACACTCTCATATGTTTTATCTGAAACTGTTTACCCGTTGATGCCAATTAAAAGCCCTAAATCTGGTTAGTAAACATTCATCTTGGCATAAAATTGTTCTAGGATAATCTTTCTTTTCTGACTCTCTTAGGTCCCGTTTACTGTTACGACAAATCCACCTCGTCATGTATCGCCAGCCATAAACTGTTGCCTGACCCTTACGAAAGTCAACGGTTGGTGCAAGCTGTGATCAACCATGTAAACCTCAAGCTATCAAATCTTGTTTTGAACAGAAAACATGTACTTGTTTGTTCCAGTGATGGATTGTCTGGTCTTGTCATTTCAGTGGGGGAGATTCAGTTGGTTCTCTAGTCTTAATACATTATTCCTTATGTTTTCATCTTGTTGATTGAAGCTGAAATGTGGTTTTCTTTTGGTTTAACAGTGTGTATGCGGGACTTTCACTTATTTCCGGAGCTGGAGAAGGGCTATTTGCAAAAACTAAGGCTGAGGCTAACACGGTGATGGCTTTTTATAATGGTGTCCGCATTACACATTCAGAGGTTTGTTTGTTTCCATTTTACATTATTCAATGCCAGAATGTAATACTTTTTAATTTTTTAAAGCTGAATGGTGTGCTAAATTTAAAGTATTCTAAAATCTGTTAATGTTTAAATTAACAGGTGGACAGTCGGGACTGGTCCCTGAATGGGAACACTATTTCATTGGATGAGGACACTGTGATTGATGTTCCGGAACCTTTCAATCTGACTGAGAATTATTGTGCATCTCTAGGTCACAAGGCCAATCACTCCTTCTCTCCCAATTGCAAATATGACTCGTGAGTGTGAATGTATATTTTAGAAATATACAGAGACAATGTGCTTTTGTTTTTCTATGTTAATCGGAGTAGTATTTTGTTGGATATTTCAATACAAACTAATCATATTGTTCGACAATATTGGGTTAGTCATGTAACCATTGTACTAACAGCTGTTTTTACCTGTCCAGATACGTCCATCCTCGTTTTGGGCAAATAAAATGCATCCGAACAATCCGTGCCATGGAGAAGGATGAAGAACTCACTGTTGCTTATGGTTATGACCATGAGCCATCAGGGAAGTCTGATCCAGAAGCACCAGGATGGTACACAAAACAATTGCTGGAGTTTCAACAGAGGGTGTCAGGAAAAGGGGCTGACGAGACCTACTAAGACCCTTTTCACCACTGCTGAAAAAAATATTATCTCCCATCCCAGCCTGCAACTACCACCAGAAACTCTAACTTTGTCCTTTGACTATCACAAGCTAACAATTTGAAATAATCACACCTTTGAACTGATTTCTGGCATCCTCATCCATTTACAAGTATTTTAACTGTGAAATCCTTGCTCAAAGCAACAAAATTCTATGGTTCTACTGTTCTATAATGTGGAAGGACCTGGTATGTGTCAGTTAGTGACTGAGTTGGTTGCATTAATAAGAGCAAGTGATTTTAAAGGCATTTTGACTAAAATCTATGAAGCGGAGTAGAGTTGGAAAGTTTTAAAGACTATTGTTACTATTTCTTGAAGTATTCAACCTCTTTACCACAACTTGTGTTAACCATGCAGTATTAAACCAATATAGTGTCTTTTGCTGCTCTGCTCATGTTTCCCCCACAAACTAAAAATATAAATTTGTTGTTATTGTCTCTATTATCATGTACAAACAGCTACAGTTAAGTTTATATAGGCTCTAGTTGTCTTGAAGTACAGTGTTATACAGACAAGGCCCTTTATTTATTTGTTATATTTTTATGTTTTTTCACATACCAAGAGTACAATGAAAAATCTACACCACAAAAGAAAATTTAAGTAAATTGTCATTTGTATGTTGGGAAAAGACAGAACAGAGTGTATCTGAGGCACAAGGTGAAGAGAAATCTTTCTACTGATCTGAACTTCAGCCTTTGTTATGCAAAAGCTACCAACAACGATTTATCAATAAAACTCCAGCATAGAGCACAAGTTCATTTGACTCATCTTTTCAACGTTCCCAGTTATTAGATAAGGAGGGATGTTATGAAATGTAGAAAATATAAATCGGATTTTCTTTATGCCAAAATGCAGGAATATTTAATGCTAAAGTAATCAGGTCAACACTCGCTTTAAACGTCCACACAATGGGGGCGTGGTCTGTCATCGTGCTGCACCTGCGCGCGCGCCAGGTAAATGAGTGACACGCTCGGCCAACCGCTTTCTTCTTAACAAAGCGGTCCGGAAGTGATAAAGGGAAAACGGCATAGGTAAATACGCGATATATTCTAATTTAAAGAATTTATAAATCATTTTATACTTTTAAATTGTGTTTGGCATTGCTTCAGAATAGCGTTTAGTATAATTAAGTTAGTGAAGTGGTTTTGTAGTTCCAGAATCAACCCAAACGTGGAAAGCGATAGTGACTTACTGCGTCAAGTCAGTATACGTTTGATAAAGGATCCAACTCCGTTTAGAGACATGATAATAGTGAAAGAATTGTCTCTTTTAAATAATATTTATGGACCTAAAACTACTGTTTGATTCTTCTGTCCCTGCTGAAGGCCTGAGATGGACCGTTACAGGTATTTCATCTTCAATCAGAAGAGTGTGGTGGTCCTCGGCATCCTTCAGGTGGCGTGCGCGGGGCTTTGCGTGGTTTGCGGCTTTATGGACGCAGTTTTCCGAAAGAGCACTACTCTGAGTGAAACTAGGGCTCCACTCTGGGCTGGACTGGTGAGAAAGCTTAACACTTACAATTTATTTATTTTAAAATGGCTTCCCCAGTTAACCAATAATGCACCATCCCAGTTTGCCAGAAAATTGTTGGCAAACATGTTCAGTCTCAAGAGGGTCACGTAAAAAAAAAAAAATTAATATGAGTTATGTTGAATGCCTATCAAAATATATCACATTTCACTATATTATAACCGTAACATGATATTCTTTTTCTCACTGCTGCTGAACGTGGTTTCATTCATTAATTTATTAACCATTTATTAATTATTAACCATTTCATTAGGCCCAATTCGGGCCATTTCTCGCCAACCATACACGAGAGACTGTTCATGAATGATTTTCCGGGGTAGTTTGCCTTGCCAGGTCTTTCCCCAACCCTCCCCATTACATGGTTTGGGAGAAATTGGGACTCACTCACACATTCATACGGACAATTTAGCGTCTCCAATTCACCTACACTGCAGGTTTTTGGATTGTGGGGGAAACCTCCTGGCTCCTGGCAGTTGGGACTCAAACCAGGGACCTTTTTGCTGTGTGGTGACAGTGCTACCCACTGACTGAGCCACTGTGAAAGTGGTTTAGAATGAACTTAATACTGATTTTTAGTAACGGAAGATTATGCACATAATCATAAAGAAGATTAGGCTTAGGTGTCCCACTTGAAACGCATTCACCTTATTGGCACTGATTCTGTAAAGCTCATATTACTCTTCCCTCCTCTTTTAGATTATGGCTGCACCTGGTGTACTTGCCCTTTTTGCATCTCAGAAGAAAAACCCTATTTTGGTAATACATTTTTTGTGAATTTATTAAGTATTTTTCCTGACAGTTGTCTACCTGTTGATATTAACACGCTCTCATTAATACTTTAAGGTAAACGCCATGATCGTCTCCTCTGTGGTGTCGCTTTTTGCTGTTGTGATTGTCTTTGTTTATGCTTGCATCACTCTCAGCTATGGAGAGGAGGATGATGAGATCTTCCATGCCCATCCTATCCCTGAAGTGGTACAGTCACACCAGATCATGTTTAATTTGCTATGTTATACCCTCAGCTTAAAATGTAGAAATAATTGATGTAGCTGTGTCCTGTGTAGAGGGTTGTACTCAGCCGGATGGTAAAGGGCGCAAACAGCACCCTTCTGGTGGCCTGCACGGGGTCTCTGCTCTTTTCTTCTCTGATTGTATACGTTGGCTGTCGCAGTCTGCCGCTTTGTGGCTGCTACAATTCTTCAAATGGCATGGTGGGTGAAGTCTTTTATAAAACAAGGAAGTTCATAAGAAAATTGCAATATCTAAAAGTTAATATACAATACACAGTATTGAGCTGTTAATCACTGCATGGTTGGGTATTTTACAGGACTTTCTAGTTCCTCAGAATGATCCTGTTACTCCAACTGAACTCATTTGCACTTGGCAAGGTACGCAAGAGATGTTGTTGAAGTGGGTTTGTACACTGAGATAACAAAATCATATTTCATGAGTCATCTGCCACATGAGCCACAATGTATGCAATTATGATGATGTTAGTGAGGATGTGGCTGAATATAATGAGATTGAATTTTTTTCTCATGCAGATGGAGAAGAGCGAATCTTTAACTCCCCCGTGTCATTCATGGATCGCTGTCCTGAGCAGGAACAGCAAGACCTCTCCACGCTTCCACCATATAGCAGACTAGCTTAATAATTTTTTTTAATGTATGTGACTGGGCAAAATATCAAATATTTCATCGAGCTTGCTTGTTTCAATTCTACTTAAATGTGTTTCTTGATGTTTAAGTTATTATCAGTGCCATATCAATTTTAAATTATATTTTAGTGTTTTTTTTCTAAACACATATGCCTTAGCTTTATACTTTTTTACATCATAGACTGATATTTTTGCATAAATAAACCTGTATATATTTTACAATAAACAATTATTACAAATTAAGAATTCTATTCTATTTGCCTCTTTATGGATCTCAAACTACAACCTATTGCTTTTAAATGGATGTTCAGACTAATAAAACTAATCAGTTCCAGAAATTTCATTTGGACTATGCACTTGATTTTGGCACCTATCTCAAACGCAAAACGGTATCGTTTTTGAGATACGTTTCAGTATATTACTTTAAAAAGAATTTAATAGTCTAATAAGAATTGATTTCCCATGTACACTCTTTAATTGGATAAATAAGGCACAACATTCTTCTGAAGTTCATAGATGTGGGACTTTATTTCTTAGTAAAACATTAACTGTTAAAATCAAAACCGAAACAAGCATGATTTGTTTTGCACTCCTTTGATTACAGTAGACTGATGGTTTATATTGTTGATTTCTTTAACTATCACTTTCACTCAACTCACTATCCAACATTGAAGATTTAAGTTGTATCAGAAAAATGATTAGTAAAGATATGTTGTGCATGCTTGAGTTCTGGCATTGCAAGGTGCTGTTTTATCAACTGTTGACCCCTGATATCATGTATTGGCTCATATACTGGTTGCAAAGATGCATAATTTCCACTGATAAAATAATAAACCATAATTAACCTACATGTAATAATAAAGTGTGTCACTTAAAACATTAAACAATCTTCCATATATTTGCTGCATTTGTAATTTTTAATCTGTAACATTCTGTGGACTTTTGAGATCTGCTTAAATGTTACATTGTTATCTGTTATTAATGTGTTAATGCAAACATAAATAGACAAACAACCCAGACCAAGAGCGTTTATCTAGAGATCAATTCAGCATGAACCTACAAAAAGTATGAATGCTCATGATGTTTCTGGCAGATAAATGATGAGATAATCCTTTTGTAATCACCCAGGGTCAAAACACAAAGCACAAAAAGTCTTTACTATGCATTCAATATTTAAGGGCCATACCATGCACAGTTCCTCAGCCAATCACATGCTCCCCTACTGTACCCCAATCAAACAATGGAACGCATCAGCTAATCTGGCCCTTAACCAACCCACTTCACATTCATATTTGAAAATCATATGCAAAATCACTTTTTGGCAATTCCCCATAAAAATAAATAAAAAACATGTCATGCCTGAGATTCTTTCATGCACTTCACAGGACCTGCTGTGCTGTTACATTAAAGACATGAATGGATATTTCGTAATGGATTAAACTCTGTGCTGCATATTAGTGTTGGAAATAAAATGGCCAAAGGGAAAGAGATAATTTAGCCATTAGCGAGTCTGTATATTTTTACTACTAAGAGATTACACATTCAAATATAGATATCAGACCTTTTGTTCAGATCAATGCATGCACAGAGCCATGAATAATATGAGGTAATCATACTAATCTGTGATTATACAGTACAGATCATTTTCATTTTGCCTAACTAAGCAGTACTACATACCAAACATGACCTTAGACACTGGCGTAAATATCGTCAGTGAATTACTGTCCCTTTTTACCAAAAGTCTTTTTAAACCACATCTAAATTTCAAACCGATTCACAAGGAGGACTGGATAACATGCATAACTCCGTACAGTTGATTTTATTCAGATAAATGACTGCTAAAATAAAAAAAGAAATTGGCAATAAATAAAACACTGGCAGTGGGACATGGACTGGCTTTAAGACTTTTTAGGAAAGGCAAGGATATCAGCTTTATTTTATTTTTAAATTCATCCCTCGCTTCTCTAAGACCTAATAGCAGCTGTAATAATAAATAACCAGCATTTAGTGAGTGTTTGCCGGTTTGTCTTTTTCCTCCCAACTTTCACAGGAAGCGCCTGCATGTGTGTGGGTGGGTGGGAGAGAATGAGAGAACAAACAACAAACACACAGACTAAACCAGATTCGGCGTTTCAACTGGGAGGCTGAAGTGATTTAACAGAACAGTTTATCTAATTTTGGCAAGAAAATCGTTTCAAAGATATGATGAAAAAGGCAACATCTTGTGTATGACAATTTCACCCTTCAATTCCACTGCGGAACTGCATAACCGATTAAACTAGTAGGTAAATCTAGTGAAAGTGTTTGGCAGTGGCATATGAAGCTTGTATATGTAAGGTAGGTTGGCCTACATGCAACTTGTCAAAGCCTCTGATGAGTGTTGGAGAAACGTTTTCCTAAAGTCGTCTACCCTTTAAATAATGGCCATATTCTGCACGTCAGACACACTAAGAAATCTTGAGAATAAATGTTCCTGTGTCCTCAATCCTGGAGTTCCGCTTCACAGAGAACACAAAAGCACCTCTAAATCTGCTTCTCTAAAAAGTGCTTTACCTTTCGTCATCTCCGTTCTGTAAAGAGGTGCCTCCTCCTTTAAACGTGTACTTCATTAGCTCCTCCAACAACCACAGCCCCAACTTCCCCTGTCCTCCTCATCCTGCCTCCTGAGAGTGACAGTATCTCCTGATCCGGAAGGTGGCTGGCTTAATATCAGCGGCTTTTGAGATTTCAGCTTGTGCGCCACAGTCATAAAAATGGCCTCTACGTGGTCACTGTTATTCCGACTGCCATCGTCGTTTCCGTAGGGGTTTTTGGCAGAGGTCTCGAACAGAGGCATTGAGTGTGCATCGGCAAACTGCTGTGCTACGTCAGTGCTCACTTGTGCGGCGTGGCGCAGGTCGCATTTGTTGCCGACCAGGATTCTGGGCACCTCCTGCCCCAGGGCATGCTGACGGCACTCCTCAATCCATGCCGGAAGGCTACGGAAACTAGCAGCATTAGTGACGTCGTAGACAAACACCACAGCGTGGACGTTGCGGTAGTAGTGCTGCACCATACTCTTACGGAAGCGCTCCTGGCCTGCGGTGTCCCACAACTGGACCTGGAGAGGGGAAAAGGGAGAGCAATTAGCTGTCAACTTATGTCATCATACCACACATATCTGTTCTTTAAACGTTACAGGAGAATGCAGGGTTCATGCCTGAACGAACAACACAGGCAGGTGTTATGTGAATGGTGAAGTGTTGGTCTTGTGCATGAGACGTTTTCGAAATTACATATAGTGTGCAACAGAGCTCTATACTGAGGCTACTATGACAGCTGGGAACATCATAGGGGAAGAACAAGTTGTTACACCAATGCATTGACACACTAACGAGTCTAACCCTGCATTTAATTTCACTGTCTTGTTACTCTCTTTCAAACTGTATCATATTTGATGCCTGAATTTCTAAGGCCTATACATTTTCAACATGATCCAACATGATTCAACACAATCTACTACATGCCTTCTGTGGTATGATTGATAGTTTGTGGTACATGTGGCACATGCAACTCTGGTTTTCTGTTTTAACAGAAAGCAACTTGCACTGACGTATCTTAAAATATGTCAATGCCATTATTTTGTGTCAAGATGCACACCAGTAATGTTTTTTTTTCCTAAGGCACATCTAAAAAAGCCAATTAAATACTAAGCTAAGGCCCAATCCTGGCTTAATCTAAACCCTGTTTGTGAAACAAGGCCATAGCTTGATTTACATTAAATGCTATCAGAACTTCATCTTACTTTTTGTGCATACAAATAACTGCTCCAAATTGCATATTTGTGCTCAATTTGGGCCTCTGGATAAAATTGAGGAATATTTGTTCTCCCTAAGTGTATCGAATATGATACAAAACATAAAACACAAGTGCAAACTGTTCTGTTCCATTAAAAAAATAGTGTCAGGTTACTGGGTTAAATCAACGCACACTGGAGTCAATTAACTCAATAACCTTCTAAAATTAAAAGCATCCTCACCTTGATTTTCTCGCCGTCTATTTCAATAACCTTCTCCCGAAAATCCACCCCGATAGTGGCCTCAGTCCTGTCTGGAAACTTGCCCGCACAGAATCTATAGGTGAGGCAAGTCTTGCCAACTCCAGAATCACCGATCACGATGATTTTAAAGATTCGAGTCCGTGGGGGAGGCAGCGAAGAGCTGGTCAAAGATGAGCTAAATTCAAATGAGGACTCGATATCTGCCATGCTGTCTTCCTATAAAGAAACAAGTGCCTCTTGCAGACTGACACAGTGAAAATGTACTAACAGGTCAGATAAGTGATTCAAACGCAGCCTTCGCTTAGCCTTCAGCCCTTCACCTCAAGCTTCATGTGCAAAACTCAGAGATTTAAACGTTGGTGAGTGTCTTTGACGTATTGACCGGTACACTGTACATTTTGCTGATGCATTCCTGGCGGAGTCCTCTGTCTGTTTGGGTCTGTAGCCACGTACGTACGTAGTACGTACGACGTTGACACATAACTGTAATCTCGCGAGAAGTTACAGAATACTAAGAGAGTTTGTTTGGTAGGCTACTTCCAAACAATACACAGAAAGAAAGAAAAAAGACATAACAAAAATGAAACACTTTTGTAAACAGAGCACTCAAACACACACACTCACACACACTCACAAACTAAATAAATATAAAAGTAATTAAATTGAATAAATAAATTTTGTATAAACAACGGGGTGGAAGATTTCACTTTCTTTGCAGTGATGATTTGATTAATTTGTTATTTTAACATTGATGGAGAATGGACTAAAAATATTCAGTTGGGTTCGTTCATTGATTCATTCGCTTTAAAGCTTTGTTCAAAAACACCGATACGTTCACGAGTGAAACCTCAATGTTCATAGTCTGTGTGGCTTCAAGTAAACACTGACACTTACCAAAGTCCAACTCTAGATTTACTAGACGACTGCTGAAAATGTTGGTAAGTTCTTACAATTTGTTACTGTTTTAAAACAGTAGCCTAATAAAACACTCAATGAAATGTTAAACGTTACTAAAATGTTTTCATTATGTTCAAATATATGTTTAAATTTATAGCCTACATTTAAGTGTGTCACAATGTCACTCAATGGTAATGTGCAGCACTAGTAGCCTATTATGAAACTGCTGTTGGCATCAGTGTCTGGAGATCATGCTATTTAATTTGCTGATAAATAGGTACATCAAGGTGTTGAGCTGGAAACGCCTCCCTCAGGACTGGAGAGAGAGTTTAAAACTCTATTTAACTTTGATGCTCTGCAATTTCTGTCTGAACTCATTTCTACCTTCCAACCAGAGGTTGACAAGGTACCCACTTTAACTTATATATAATTTCTAATAGTTTTTACAGTTTGTTACTCTGTTTTAAAATATCAAAATAATATGTTTGTTTATGTATTTATTTTTTGGATAAGTTTTCATTAAGAGATATTCTCACTCTTTTGCAAGGTTTTGAACTTGAGAGTTCTCCGGAAAGTTCAATTGGATCTTACTGGAGAGTTACCAGGCTTTCTGCGGGACACAGCTCACATCCGAAATGATCCCAGCTGGAGAGTTAACCCAGTTCCAGACAGATTACACTGCAGACATGTGGACATTGGTGACCTTTCACCCTGTGATACACAACGTCTTATAATGGGACTCAAATCTACTGCCCAAGGTTTACAGGTAGGACTTAGTTGTGCCAATATGATGGTGGTGACAGACAGAAAACTATTAGTGGCAAATATATACTACAATGCACTGAATACAGAACAGATAAAAAACGGATTCCTGGTTGTAATTATACTATTGTTCTGCTCTGTTGTAGATTGATTTTGATGATGGCAACTGTCCAACATATCGCAATCAAATAAAGGGCATTTATAATGTTTACCTAGCTGTGCACAACCAATTTCAGGGTGAGTCTTATGCCATCTCTTGCTACTTTTTTATTAAAACTGTGATCTGGAAAGCATGTGTTAACAATTTGTCACATTTCTTATAAATAGATGTACCACCCATTTCTCAGGCTCCAGTCCTGATGCTCCGTCCTCGAGCGTGGAACATGGTGGAGCACAACATGATGGTATGGATCTATAGTGAGCTGGTATAATGGCACAGATTAGGATATCTGCGACTGTCCATGTGTGTTGGTTTATTTTAAACTGAGTTCCATTAATGTTCTATTGTAGGATTTAACTTGTTTTAAAATTATAACAACTTACAACCACAAATGAGATCAATTTAAAATTTCAGCAGTGAACAGGAGTTTTCAATCTTTTTAGTGGTCACAGACCGCCACATATGATCATACTTGCGTGGGACAATCAATGAAAGTCATTCATCATAAACTCTTTAAAAAATTGTGTCTGTTTATATTGCTCCAAATGGGTTTTTGGAGAAATATCTTATTCAGATTAAAATTGAAGATTTTAATTGATATTAAAATGAAAGGGTGAATGTGATTTCTCCAAGTACAACATGTTCCTCCTGAATCAACATCTTTGTTGATCCTGGAACAACATCTCAATCAACCAATCAGATTTGAGGGATTGGTTTTGTCAAGTGTAGGCTTACAACAAGGGTTAAGGGCTTCTACGCCATTCTTATTCACCTATCATTTCCCTCTGATTTTAGGGATAACGTATGGGTACGGTTAGGTTTAGGAGTAGGGATAGGGTTACTACATTTTCAGACAGGAATGTTGTTCCAGGATCAACAAAATATGTTTATCCAGGAACATGTCTTACTTGGCAAAATCCCGTTGAACAAAATGAACTAAGAAATCTCTTTAGCTGTAAATGAGCTAACCCTGAATAATAAAATATCCTTCTTGGTAGTGAAAAGACTACATCTGTTTCCCTGTAGGTGAATGGTCGAGAGGTTCCTGGTCCATTGTTTGATTTTGGTCTGTTGATGTTTCATAATGCAAAACTACTTCTTCAAAACCAGAGTGGCCCTTTTTTCTACTTGTCCAAGGTCAGTGTCAGATCATGTTACTTCATTTACTAGGACAGAACTTAAGTGTATCAAACATATCCAAGAAAATCTTCATGTTTTCTTGTACAGGTTGAGAGCTACATGGAAGCCAGATTGTGGAGTCAGATTTTTTTCTGGACCGAGAAGAAGGTGCAGATCGAGATTGCATATGATCCATTGCAGTTTTAACTACCATGCAGTTTATATTCCGATATTAATTGAATTATTTTGTAGCTTGGCCTGCCAGCGGGCTGTATAAAGGCTACCGTGCTGATTGAGTGTGTCCTGGCATCGTTTGAGATGGAGGAGATTTTGTATGAGCTCAAGGAACACTCTGCTGGTCTCAACTGTGGCATCTGGGATTACTCAGCTTCATTTGTCAACAAATTCGGTCAGCTCATATGCTTTCTGCAAGTTTGATGAGTTTAAACCCAATCACATCTTAGTGTTAGTGATGCTGGTTTGCTTTCTAGGTCATCGGGCTGATTTCCTCCTCCCTGACCGCAGTAAGTATGTAGATATGGAGAAGCGTTTTCTGCACAGCTACATGGACCTTCTAGTGCAGACGTGTCACCGCAGGGGTGCCCTAGCAACAGGTGGCATGGCAGCTTTGCTGTTGCCTAGAGACAAAGAGAGTGACCTCTACAAGACTGTACTCGCTACTGTCACCAGGCAAGATGCAAATCTATGGTTATGGTGATTTAAATCCAATCCATAATCACAATAAAAATGCAGTGGCACATAAATCCAAATATGGCATAAACATGAAATAGCCTTAACTTTTTGAGTTATTTTGGGTATCATATATTTTCATTATGCTATAATAAGGCAGCATCACTATTACTATTGATCAGGGCTGCGATTTGAAGTCACATTAGAGAAATTTCCCATGCAAAAACAGGTCAATAGCACAGAGATGTATGAAGCACTGCTTTCTGTTGGACCACGCTGCAAATTCACGTGACCAGCTTGAACATGAGCGAAACCTGCGTGAGGAACGCGAACCTCACCTCACCTCATCTCACGTGAAACTCTCGATCACGGGAATTCTTATTGGAATGACTGGATTTCGCCTGGAAAATCTCAGAGCAACAATAAATATGACGCACTTTAAGAATTAAAATTTAACCTGTAATTCTGCACCATGCAAATCATGTACCATCAAATCATGCACCTTTTTTTGGAGATGATCAAAGCCATCAGGCTGACAATTGTTCCCTTGCAGATGATAAAACATAGGCCTAGGCCTATTCACATTGAAGGAGGAGCACAAACCATATCTAAGGTCCAGACTCCCAAGTATAATAGAGACTTTTTAGACTCTTTAGACTTGGAAACCACCAACCTTGGCAACCGCATATAGCAGTCCTATACAGCCATTCAGAATACCTTAAGAACTACATAGTGATGCTGCCCTTCAAACCATCCACAACACCATAACATTGTAAGGGTCTGTTTTGCACAGCTCAAGTTCATCAGAGACTGTACTTATGTTGTTACAGTTCTGTAATCCATATTTGAATTGCCTGATCAGTCATATTAATTTTAAAATTTAACACAAGTCATGTTAAAGCCTAGGCTACATATAATGTATCTGTGCTGATCAAAAAAGACAGCTCATCCAATTTTACTTCTGTATTTGTTCTCCATACAAATGATCTTTCTCGTGTTGCTTTAGACTTAAGTTACTGGAGATCAAAGCAGGAGTTGATGGGTTCATGGTTTACGACATGGACCTGATTAAGCCCATGCAAAATGTAAGTGTCCCACTTACTATAACATGTTGTTCATAGGTCTATTCATTGACTTTCCAATCACATCACTAGCATATATAGATATAACAAATGTTTACTCTTTCTTTCTCTCACACAGCTGTTCCAGCTTCACTCTCACGGTCAGAACCAACTCAAGCAGCTGCGTGAAGACATCAATGTGACCCCTGAGGACTTGCTCATTATGCCTGCAGTCAGTTCAATTCTATCACTACAAATCCTGTAAACTTATTAATACATGTGTGGTCAAAGGTCCTTTCAAGGTCTTTGGTTTGGTGAGGTCTTGCAAATTTGTATTATAGTTTAAATGCAGTTGCCATTATATTTAATTTTCAAGTGCTTTACATCTCTATAGGGAGGAGTAACATTGCATGGACTGAGGTATAACATCGCTGTAGGAGTCCTCTTCATTGAAGCCTGGCTTTCAGGTACAAAACTGTTTTTAAAAAAAACACTTTTATGCTTTGTTCTCAGAAAATGTGAGGTTTTATGGATATTAACTTTTAACAACAGGCAGAGGTCATTTCTTCTATCTGGGGAAGGTTGAGGATTCAGCAACTGCAGAGATATCCAGATCTCAGGTCAGTTCACCACACTGCCCAGCTCACATGGTACAATACAACTCCATCTCTTATTCTAACAGGCTGCATTTATCAGGTTTGGCAGTGGATCCGGCACCAGGTGAGACTGGAGGATGACGGGATGGTGGTGACACGAGCTCTAGTCAGCAGCTTGGCTGAAGATTTAATGGGAGATCTGAAGGCAGCCATAAATTGTCAAACAAACAGGTAGAGAATGCTGTATGAAATACATCTGTTGGAATGTACACACAAAATGAAGTGGGATTAAAGCAACAAGAGACCATGCGTTGCAATGATTTTACCATGGTTATAGGATGTTCTTGGGGACGATTTGAAAAAACTACTGTTTAATTATAAAATATATCAATATAAAAATGTTAATATTACAAAATTAAAATTCACTATACACTAATAAAATAAAGTACTAAATAAATATTAAGCTCCTCCTGTTATATAGTTTATTAGTCTTACTCAGTGAAGTTATGAGACCCTGAACAAAGGAGGATCAGATCAGATCTTACATTACGGACATAGCAGTTTATTGTTCTCTGTTCAAATCTGCACTCATAAAAATAAAGGTTCTTTATTGGCATCAATGGTTCCATAAAGAATCTTTAACATCCATGGAATCTTTCCATTGCACAAAAGGTTCCTTGTAGTGGAAAAGGGGTCTTTATATTAATAAAATGTCCTTCCCACTAAGAAAATAAATGATTATTTTAAGATCAGTTCACTGAAAGGTTCTTATGGGAACCAAACACGGTGTGCAGCCCTCATGCCAGCAGCAGCAGGAGGACTAAATGGCATGTTCACTGATGCCACCGGTAAACTGTTAATTGTCTTAATTACTGTTTCACTGGTTCATGTGTAATAACTGTTTATGGTTCACTGAACAAGCATGAAAAACTAAAGATTGTCTAAAGATTTTTCAATAAAGCTTACTTGGATTTTTACAAAATTATAGTATCCTGAAAAAGGATGTTTCTTTCTTCTTTTATAATAAAGTTTATTAAAATTGCTTTCAGTAATTGAAATAAAGCTAAAATAAAATAGAAATATTAGAAGACAAAAAAAATGAGAAATTTGACCATGGCAACTAACTGAAATAAGTTGAAGTAAACTATAACTGAAATAAATAAAGCTAAATAGATATATTTTAGAAAACTAAAAAGGCAAAAGCACATAATAAAATTATTACAGCTTATAAACTAAAATTAAAATATAAAAATAAAAGACAATTAAAAAAATATACAATATTAGTATATAAATATTAAAATAACACTGGACTAACTGTAGGCTGTTTCACATTGTTGCCTGATTGTCTCATCCAATCAGAATTCAGTCATTATATACACTACCGTTCAAAAGTTTGGGGTCAGTGAGAATTTTATTTTTATTTTTTGGAGGAAAGAAATCAATACGTTTATTTATCAAGGAATAATTAATTTGATCGAAAGTGACAGTAAAGACATTTATAATGTTACAAAAGTCTTTTGAACTTCCTATTCATCAAAGAATCCTAAAAAAATAAATAAAAAAACTGTACAACTGACAGACCAACAACTGTTTCAACATTGATAATAATAATAAATGTTTCTTGAGCATCAAATCCTCATATTATACTGATTTGTGAAGGATCATTTGACACTGAAGACACTGGTGATGCTGAAAATTCAGCTTTGATCACAGGAATAAATTACACTTTACTATATATTCACACAGAAAACAGCTGATTTACACTGGAATAATATTTAATACTATAACTGATTTTTGTTGTATTTTTAATCAAATAAGCGCAGCCATGGTTAGCAGAAGAGGATTCTTTTAAAAGTATTTAAAATCGTACCGACCCCAAACTTTTGAACGGTAGTGTATATATAGGTAGCTGAATGAATACTGCTTTATTTGATTTTATTTAATGTCCCACAGGGGTCTTAACAATATCTCAGAAAAATGCAGTATTAAAAAATACAGTAGTTTGTCTAAATTACCATTGTACATCTGTTACAGAGCTATGCCACCTCTGATTTCCCAAGAGCTCACATTGAGAAATACTGACCTTTTCTCTCTTTCCACCCTCTTTAGAGACAGAGAGAGGTTGATGACTGCTGTGTCCATGTTTCTAGAGATAGTGCAGAAGAATGATTTCCCTGAGTTCATCACTACATACCTTAACCTGGACCACACTTTCCTCAGCTCTCAGAGCCAACATGAGAACGGACCGACAGATGCGGTGCCCAAAGCCAGACTCTAAACAAGTGTGGGATTACACAAGTCTAAAATTACTTCTACATCATAAGCAAAATAATAAATCCATGAATGCATGAATATGTTGTCGTAACATTTGTGAAACTACTCTTCATATAGATTTTTAGATAAATAATTATGAAGATGGGTCAAAATGGAGTGTAAAAAAGGATATGATCAAAATACTTCCATATAACGATAGCAATTGACTTAAAATTATAGGTCAAAACTACTAAAAATCAAGATGTGTCAAATCACAGTTCACTCCCTCAACAGCTATTTGGAGAAACCTGAATATATGAGGAATCCTAATTTCAAAAGTGTGACATCTAGACCTGGACCAAGGCGAAGTTCTAAAATATTTTACAGGGTAGAAACTATGATTGCAAAATATTGATAAAAATTCAAATTTTTACTGGATCAAAATGAAGAAAAGAACAAAGAACTGGCCTTCAAATATTGTTGTGGAACATGGAGAGCCTTGCAGTCAAAAAGGTTGAGAACCATTGCTATAGAACATGAATTAAGGCTATAATTCAGTTTAATATATTTTAAAAGTCATCTTATTTCCAAACAACCAGTAAAAGTAACACCTAAAGGAGTAAACGTAAAACAAATACTCGCAAGCACAAATTTAACTTTAGCAGCCTCTGTATTTCTTGTGGTCTGTATTTTCTAAGAAATGAAATGGTTACATCTTACTGTGTACAACCAAATATGGAAATTAAAAACAAAAAGAGAAGTGCATCACCGTTATGTTATTTTGTTTTATTTGTAACTGTGTGAATGTCACATGACGGGACATTTTCTCAGAATTCAGACAGTGGTATGTTTGATGGAGGGGGGGGGAAAATCATAAACAGAAAGGTTGAAACCAGCATAAGGAGAACCCAAACAATGAGTGGGAGAAAAATAAAATAAGCCAAACAAACCCAAAAGAAACACAGTCACAGTAAAAGGTCCAACAGAAGCCACTGCCGCCTCTTAGATGTTCACTGAATAACCGAAAGGCAGAAGAGGATGAAAGAAAAAAAGAAAAATAAAGAGATGCACGTCTGCCTCTCCTCGGCACTCCAGGTGACCTTTAAATCGGCTGAATTGGCCGAGTCACCTCCCGATTGACATGGTAGTCTTCGACTGCTGGCTCCACCTGGTGGCTGATCCTGGAACTGCTTTGTGCCCAGCAACACAATGTCACATTAATTCACTACCACACACTCCCCCACCCCCCTCCCCAGGTGCCGTCATCTGCATCTAAAAGGTCCGCCCCACAGGTTTGGCACACGACCACGCAAGACAAACCAGGACCAATAGTATTGCTCCTCCTGATATTATTCGGTTCTCTTTAATATTATTTTATATAAATTACTCTTAAAAACATGAGAAGCAAGATGCATGTGTCTGATAAACAGGAATTAGGCCCAATGAGTTCACTGTGACCATCTTGATCAATCTTTCTCTGTAATACCGTTTATTCTGTTCTAGCATAAGAGACGCCATTGGCCATATAAAAAAGAAAAAGAAAAAACAAGATAGAAAGAAAAAAAAGGAGTAAAACGGGGTTTTCCCCTATTGCTTGCTCGCTCGCTCCTGTGAGTAGATGCGAAGGCAGAAGGTAACTGGTCTCGTTAGTGCAGTGGAGTCTCAACCTCTGTGGGGCGTCTGGTCTCAAAATGCTGACGGCCATAAAACGGCCACCCTGCTCACTTCCTGAAATGCTCACATCTCATTGGGCATGTCCTCGTGGTCGCAGGGGGACAGGTCTCCGTTGGTGGTCACCGCAGAGTTGTCCTGGTAACCGGGGGGCATGAAGGCTACAGCGTAGGGATAGACACCGTGGCAAGCCACACGGTATGATTCGACAAATTTCTCCTGCTGCGAGCCCAGACTGCCGTCCCTCAAAGCCTGGAGAGCCTCGGTGCACGTCTAATAGTCACATACAAATGAGAGATGTAGCATCATTCTTTTCTTGTGAAATATCACCAAATGTACACCGAAATAGTTCCTGTACCTGAATGGTACTGCCTGTTAGCGGCTCGTTTAAAGAAGTAGCCAGCTCAGCAGCCATGCTCTCAGAGGACGGGTCCAGAAAGACCATCATTATAGCAGCTGCATACAAAACAAGCAGATTATAAATGCAAAAGTATTGGAAAGTATCTTACACTCATCAAGACTGCAATTATTTGATCAAAAAAGTGTTTTAAAATTATAGTTTTTTTTTTTTTTTTTTTTTTTATGTAACTCGTGATGACAAAGCTGAATTTTCAGAATTATTACTCTAGTCTTCAGTGTCACATGATCCTTCAGAAATCATTCTAATATGCTGAATTGGTGCTCAAGAAACATTTCTTATTATTATCGATGTTGAAAACTTTTTGTGGCCTACGTGGTGTTTTGTGGAACCTCTAATATTTATTTTTATTTTTTATTATTATTATTTCATGAATAGAAAGTTCAAAAGAACTAGCCTGGTTAAAACCAGACCATTCTCAGTTGTAACTGAGTTATGGTCTGGGAAAGCTTCATAGACTAATCATTTCCAGAGGGGCGTCACCAACGGACGTCGCGGATAGACCTAAACCCAATCAGAGCGATGAAGGAGATGACGTATGCAGAGCGGCGGAGAAACATCTCCGAGTGTTGTTCTTTGCTCGGTTTTTAACAAAAAGGAAACGTTCAAATCGCTTAAAACAGACGCGATAGCTGATTCGAACGAGTGCTGTTCGACGGCGGCATCCATCTTTGTAATGTAAGCTGCAAAATCTGCTTCAAAATCCCAGCGCTGTCGTCATCGTGTAAAGCCCGCCCCAACGTTTCTGATTGGTGCCTCGATTTCGACGGATTGGAAATGAGCTTGAATGAGCTCTTTGCCAGACTAACTTTCAGAGCAAATCTAAATTTGCCGGAAGTTGTCTGGGTTTTCCCAGGCTACAAAAGAACAGCATTTATTTAAAATAGAAATCTTTTGTAACATTACAAATGTCTTTACTGTCACTTTTGATCATTTTACTGCATTCTTACTGAATACAATTATTAATTTCTTTCAAAAGATTAAAAATAAAAACAGACCAAAAACTTTCGAACGATAGTGTATACTTACAAATATAACAACTTACAAGTGAAACCAAAATATTGGTTTCTAAAAGTTCAGTAACATCACAAGTGGGTACCTGCAACTCTGTGTGGTATTGAGTTTGCATGTTTGCTCAGGAAGTTCTTGTTGAAAGTCTTGGGGTCACTCTCGCCAAACAGTTTTGTGATCTCCTGCTTCAGAACCGTCTGCACTGCCTCAGGCATGTCCTTACTGTCCGACACTGAAAACAAACAAAAATCTTAGTGGACTTGTATGCTTTTGTTCTATGTGAGGAAAGTATGTCCGCCTTTATGTACCTCCTTTGAAGAATCGCACCAAACACTGGTGGAGCCAGGGGTGATCGGGGTCCAATGAGTAAGCTCTCTTCACCGACTGCAGCATCAAAAGATACTTCTCTACAAACACAAACACACATTATGAGTTTTAAATCACAGAACCGGAAACGTTGTGGATCACTATGTTGAGGTCATCAGTATGGTCACCTTTTCTCAGGTAGATCTCAAAGGCCAGCAGGTGCGTCTCTATTTTATTCTTTACCAAGTTCTTCAGAGGAGTCAGGAACTTAATCGCTTCTTCTAGAGGACTCTCAATCTACAGACAAAAACATGACAATGTGATGAAAAGTCTAAATACGTTATCCTGTAAAGAACAAGTGGTCGTGTCAACACACACACCTTTGCAAGTTTTTCTGGTATGAGCTCCTCTTTAGGTCCTCCAATCTCCTCCTCGTCCTCTTCCTTTTTCTTCTTTTGGTTCTTTAACAGTTTCTCTTTTTCAGCATTCTTCTTTTCCTCTTCTAACTGGGCTTTCTTTTGGGCACGTCTCTGTTTGTTGCGCAATTTCTTCAGCTCCTTGTCTGTCAGGTTGGCTACAGAATAAACAATTATTCAGAAAACAAAACCACCTCATATTTTTGTATACTTTCTCCAAAAAGCAAGGATGGGCCTCTAGACTAGAGGTTTGAATGTGTTGAGTGTGTTTAGTGTGCATGAAGGTACCGTTGTCGGCTTGCGACTCCTTGTTGTCATCAGAGAGCGGGTTATCGTGAAGGCTGAGGTAGATCTCGATGGCCGTACGTGCTGCCTTGAAGTAGAAAGGGTGCATACGCAACACATCCTCTAGTTTGAGCAAATCCACATAGGAGCGCAGCGTCATCTTCCGCATACAGTATGTATGGAAGTCGAACTGGTCATCCGTTATCTCCACAAAATGCTGTGAACAGCAGGATGAAAGTTTCAGGATATTTCGGACCATTCATCTTGAACTAGCTTTGTGTTAAACCAACAGATTTAGCATTGAGCAGATTAAAAGTTGAAGTAAACATCTGACGGTGTCTAATGCTGTAGGACTTACCCTTTCAATTTCATGGCACTTCTTCAGCGCGTCTCCGTATTTGTTCAAGGACTTGTAGGCCAGAGCACATTCTGTCTGGAACCACATGCACTGCATCTCATTCAGATTCTCTACCGCAGAGGTTCCTTCCTGCAGGAAACAACAAAGATCAGATACACTCAGATTGATATGTTTTTGGCACTAAGACAGATCATCCCTGGAAAAATAAATGTGAGAAATTAAAAAGGTCAATATGTAAGGTCAAAAGGAAAGCAAGTCCCACCAGTTAGTTACAAGTGCTAAGTGAATTACCGGTTAAAGCATTACCAGTCAGATTTTACTGTAAAGTGGGCATTAACATAAAAAAAAAAAGTGTTTTTATTTTTGGTGAAAAATTTCAGAAAAAATTTTTCTCCTTAAACATTACTGAAACTTAGTCTTTCAACGTAATTGGACTCTCTATTCTCTCAAGCCAAAAATACAGCTGCCGAGATAATGCCAAGATTGCCCCCAAATGAATGAACTTGTCTTTTAAAGGGACTTTAAATATTAGCTAAAGGAACATACTTGGATTCAAAGTTTGATAGATTTTATGTTTTTGAAAGAAGTCGTTTATGCTCACAAAGGCTGCATTTAACCAATCAAATAGTGAAAACTGTAATACGGGGAAATATTACAATTTAAA